AAAAAAAAAAAACAATTATCTGCCAAATATATATATACACTCAACACTGTGTGTGCTGCCATGTACACGTCCGAACAATGTCGGAATCGCATAAGAAATAAAACGAAGAAAACTAACAAAGGAAACCTAAAACGACGAATAAGAGAACAAGATAAAAAAAATAAAACGAAGTAAACTGAAAAAACGAAACCTAAAAAATGTTGTGGAAACGCCATGTCTGATGGCAACGTGATGCAAGCAGTTTCGATGTGACAGGCCAACTCTCTATCTATCTATCTATCTATCTATCTATCTATCTATCTTTCTCTCTTCTTCTCATATATATATATATTACCGGGCAGTTCTATTTGTGACGATATATATATATATATATATATATATATATATATATATATATATATATATATATATATATATACCGACCAACTGTTTAGAGGCTTTAGCCTCGTCAGACAGATTGCCTCGGAACACTTCAAACTTGAGAAGTGGACCAGGCTCTCCTTCAGTGTATGTTCTCTGTCAACCCCAAGTCCATGGTCCTTATCTTCGCTCTCGGGAGGCCATGGCTCTTTGCCGACAAATCATTACTACTGGAAAAACCGCACACATGGTCTTATTTCCTCGCCCAAACAGATCACCGGCGAACTCTCTACAGCAGAACAGAGAAACTGACAAGCAACTCATCCTCAGGATATGACCTTTTTTCTCAAATCAGTTTGATATTTCTCCGTTAACTGTAACATCAACAACTCGTTAAAAAGATTGAACGGCACGTGCTAGCATACAAACACCGCAATGCGGCATGCTAACGAGTGATGGCTGTGATGCTAATATGTCGTTCGACAAGTTCCTCCCCCTCCCCCCCGCCCCCCCCTCCTCTCTCTCTCTCTCTCTCATGCGCTCGCGCACTCGCACACGTGTACGGATGCTTGAACATCTGCACAAGCAAAGTGATGCAACTGTGCAGGAGCTTAATGCTACAGTGAGTTTGGCTCAAGGTCCTACTGCCAATGGGGAAAAAGGGGGGGCTGCTGTCGGTGCTCAACAGTCCCTTTTTTCATTCGTGGTAACCCCAGGACCCTTTAAATAGCTGAAAAGAAAGTTGAGCCAAAAAGAAAAGACATTTGGGCTCAAAGCTCTCTTGCCGCTTTGGAAAACCAACTTGCAGATGGCCCAGCCCTTGGGGAAGCCTGCCGAAGGCCTGGAACTAGGCGAGCAAGTTGAGGTCTGACGCCCAGCAGCAGGGTGAAGAGGTTCCTGGACCATAGGCTACTGGAGGGGCTTGGTAGGATAGGCGCGGCCCCGGCCTCTAGGCACAGTTCCAGACACTGTCAAGCATCAAACATACTTAGCAGCCGCTCAGTTAACCCCCCCCCCCCCGGTCTCACTGGGGCTTTCAATGCTGGCAGCCAGATTCTCACTTACCTTCTGCTGTCTATCAACTGTTCAAATGGGACGCTGGACCCGTTTTCCAGAAGGTGTGGCTCCCAACCAATAGATTGGAGCAACCGGATTGCGCACATAGTCTAGGGGAGCCTGCTCGTATCACCTTCCCTAGTGAAACTGTTCGGGCTTTTCTGTTAAAAAAAGAAGGAAAAAAAAAAAAAAAGGGGCTCAGCCGCCAGTGAGGCAAGCGTTTCCCCGTGGCCCTACAACTGCACCAAATTTCATGCGTTTCATGAAGAAAACGGAAAAGAACTGCAGACTTCAGCAATAGGAAAAAAGAAAAAACTCGGGTGTGCCACACAAGCAAGCCTTTCCGCCTGTGGCCTCACTTCACTGCCGGCCTGCCTCCAGTGAGGCAAGCAATGTTTACCAGGGCCACTGTGGTCTTGAATGCTGTCAGACTCTGTTTTATATCGGATTCCGTTCAAAACCCGAAAGAATGGGCCATTTGGCACCCCCCCCCACCCCCACCCCCCCACCCCACCCCCTCCTTTCAACTAAAGAGGATCATACACAGGTGCCCAGTGTCCACCCTTACCCTTCAGGAAAGCTACCCAGCTACTTGCAAAGCCTCCTCCACTTCAAAGTCAACGAGCTCCACTTTACGAGCGATTTCCTCCAGCAGAGGGAGAATAGCACCTTCACCCGTCGTCAGACTAGTAGGCCTGTGGCGTCTGTTCAAACTTGTACATCTCAGCCCCACCTGAGCCGCCTCCATGGCAAGATTGACATCCCAATCTCCTGCATTTGGGTCCAGGTTACTTCGAAAGGTTGCAGCATCTTCAACCGCGTCGTCCATGATTCCGAACACATTCTTGAACTTCCCGGTGAGCATCTCCAGGATGGTTATTCCCAATGCATAGATGTCAGTCTGCTGAGTGAAGACCTGACTTTGAAAGAATTCCGGGGCCACGTACCGTACATCACTTCCAAGGAACCTATGCACGCCTTGTGTTTCATCCTCTTTCGTAAGGTCTGGGGCAACGAGGGCCATATAAACCTCTGTGCGTTTGGCAATGAAGTTACCACCCAAGACGATGTTTTCGGGCTTGATGGTGCAATGGATGATCGAACCACCCCTAAGGGACCGGCTGGAGTGAAGGAAGGATACGGCTTGGGCAACTTGAGCCATGATGCGCAGGCGGATGTACCAAGGGAGGAAGCCCCTTTGTGACCTACCACCAGTCTGAGAGGAGATCCAGTCCTTCACATTTCCGTGGGTCATGTGCTGGTATACGAGACAATTTCCTTCATAACTCACTCCCAGCAGGGTCTGCAAGTGGGGGTGTCTAAGAGATCTCAGCATGCCTACAAGCTCTGTCGTCAATTTGACATGATCCTCATTCCGCATCATGTTGTCGCAGCCTTCAAGCCTCTTCACCGCGATGGGTGTGTTCTTTCCCACGTAAACACATCCGTAATGCCGCTGTTCGAGCTTGCAATTATCATGGAAGTTATTTGTCGCAGTCTTCAGTTCATCCAAGGAAAACTCTCTGAATGGATGCATGTCCCGTTTTGGAATCCCCGTCCGCATGCCATCAGACCTACCCAATCTCTTGCCTCCACTACCTTCCATCTCCAACCTGCATTCCAATTCTTGAACCTTAACCTTCGATTTCTCAAGGCTCTCTTGGAGTGCCTCCTTTTGGGCCAGCAGAATTGTTAATTCATTCTCTAACCGTCTGATCCTTTCCAAGTAGTTTCCTTTTGCCGTCTCCTGCTCTGATTGAAACCTCCCCAATGTCTCTCGTAATGCCTGCCTCTCCATCCTCACATTTCTTAGCTCAGTTTCAAGCTCATCTACCCTTCGGGCATGTGTTTGCCTAACTTTCTCAAACCCCTCTTCAAGGGCCCTCCTCTCCGCCCTCCTCTCCCCCCCCCCAGTGCTCAGCTCAATCTCCAAGTGTTTTATCCTCTCTAGTAGTATATCCTTTTCCTCAGATCGGACTCTTTTGTCCGATTCTTCTCCCTCATTTCCTGCTTCCAGTTCCATTCTCTCGTCAAGGTCTGTCTTGGGACTCAAATCTACTGTAAGGAAACGTAATGTTTCCTTCCCTTGAAGCGCGAATATGCTGTCATTTCTACAGAGAAGGCTCCATGACAATCCCTCGATGCCACTGCAGAGCGTCTTTTGCAACTGATAATCTGAATCACTCCAGGCCTTGATGGTTCCTTGCTCAGATGCAGTCAACACATACGGCAAGCGTGGATGACAGAACACTCGTGCAACAGCATGTTCGTGCACATCGAGAGTGATCACACATTCCTTTCTCTGGTAATCCCAAACCTGTAGCTTGCCAGAACTGTGGCCCGCCATGATAAGTGACTTCTGAGGCTTAGCACAAAATTCTATGGAGGTATTTGTGCCCTCTGTTTGAAAAGTTTGCAGCACCGCCATCGTTGTGGCATCCCACATAAACATTGCCCCATTCGGATGGGCGGTGGCGAAAATGTGTTCTTCAAGAGGATGGAAGCACATCGCGGTTATTTCACTTCCAAATTGTCTTATATCTTTCAATGCTATACTTTTCTCCGTCTGCAAACCGTGGTCTAAATCCCAGAAGTAAATTATAAACAGAATCTCGGATTCGAACCAGGTCCTCCTCAAGAGAGGTGCCTCAACCGATAATATACACTGGGCGGTGGAATGCACTGCCCAATTGCTGAATTTCATCTCCTTACCTAGTCTGCTGACTGCTTTTATTACCCGCATGTGGCGAATCCCGCTCGACTAAGCCATACAAGTGCACCTGCCCGGCCACCACAACACGATCTTTCTGACCTAAGAACTTCACTCCATGGAGTGCGCAGGCATTATCAAAAACCTTGTATGCAACCTGCTGCCCATCTTCGTAATTCCACAACTGCAGCGACTGATGATTTTCAGCAGAAGACTGAGTAAAAGCTATCCATGGCTCGCAAGGGTGCACATCAAAGTGTTTCTTCCCCACCATGATATCTTGGTCCTGAACCTTCAGTGTCAGGCCGAGTGCGTTATGCGCATCGCAGCCTGCCATGATGCTGAATACCGATGCTCTTTTTTTTTCCCTTCTCTTTTTTCTTTCTTTGGATACTCTGGGTGTCCTACTGCTTCTCGATATCCAGACTTGGAAGCACACGCCACCGGCAGACAAGCTAGACGATGAGACTCGAGGTGATAATGCAGATTCCACTGGTATGCAGACGGCGAGGGAGAGATGGAGAGAAAAGACCAGGGAGGGATGGTCCGGTTATTCGTCTGATGATTCAGCTAACGCGAGGCGGAAGCAAAGGAAAAAGTATCTGCCACACCTACCCCATGTGGCTCACCGGTACACAAAGGGTCATGAACACATCATGAGAGATAGAGAGAGACAATATCCGTTGAGCTCGGCTGTGACGGGGTAGTGATGCCGATGCTCGGATGACAAGACTGATGGCGACGGGATCAGGCACCACGCAGAGCAATCCCCTCTCGCTCTCCTCCTCCGCGTTCATCCTTCAGCCCGTGAGTTTTCTGCCTGACAAGGATACAAAACAGAGATGAGAGAGGGAGACGAGGCAGCCGTGAATGTCAAACACTGTTACATGCCCAATTGGGCGATGTACACATATAACCGAGGATCCGCAATGTGATAAAAAGGACTGAATGGACAATGCAGTGCAAGTAGAATCTCAACAAGCAATGTACATTCTGATACATACAAAGATGGTGCTGTATAGTGCAGGGAAGACTTAGATACAAGTCCTGACCTGACCGGGACTGACCTCTATCACTTAGTGCAAGGCAACACAGCAGAATGCTAGAATACCAATGACTTGCCCAAGCAATGTTGCAACACAGACCAAACATACACCATGCTCATCACAAGGTGTGAAGGGGCCTGGCGCTATACCAGGAAGGAGGCGCCAGGTCCAGACATACACAGACGAGGAGGAGGGGATCAGACGAAGAAGAGGAAGGGGGAGATGGGAAAGTCCTCAACACCAAGTCTCGTTACCAGTCCCAAATAATCCCTCTTCAAAATGTCTGAAGTCCAATGTCGAGTCTGGATCCAAATTTCACCAAGCTCTCTCTCTCTCTCTCTCTCTCTCTCTCTCTCTCTCTCTCTCNTCTCTCTCTCTCTCTCTCTCTCTCTCTCTCTCTCTCTCTCTCTCTCTCTCTCTCAGTCTGCTGATGCAGTGAAGTTAGATAGCGAGAGGGTGAGAAGGAGATAGTGGACTGAGAAGAAGAAGAAGAAGAACTCTCTCTCTCTCTCATGTGCCAGGTACTAACCTGTGAAGATGGCGCTGTGCTGCAGGTACCTCGAAGACGAAGCTGGAGCAATGGCGCTGCAGGTAAGTCTCCCTGGCCTCCGCCCAATCTCTCTCTCTCTCTAGTACTACTCTAGCTCCTATGGCGCCCAGCGCTGAAGACTACTGCTGACGCTACTAGCGCCCAGCGCTGAAGACTACTACTAACGCTACTACTACTACTGCAGCGCTCCTCCAGAGTGCCGCTGCCGAATCCTGAAGACTACCTCCTGCCTCCTGAACTGCACGTGAAATGCCTGGGAAGTACCTAGGAACTACCTGCCTCCTGCAGGGCGGGCCAGTCTTATATAGTGCTGGCCCGCCCAGGAGGCTGCTCTTGCCAATGCCAAAACGTGCCAGACCCTGGGGTTGAAGCTCAAACAAAGGTTGTCTTGAAAATAGGCCAAAAATGGCCTGAGCTAAAACCCTGGTCTGGTGCCTGAGTTTCAGGGCAGGTCGAACTGATGAGGGCCTGAAAATGGCCCTCAGTTTCAGGCTGAAAATACTCAGGGCCGGAAAGGCCCTGATCTAGCCTGAAACGACACAGGGCCTGTAGGCCCTTGTTTTCAGGCTTTCAGGCCGAAAACAACACGGGGCCTGTAGGCCCTTGTTTTCAGGCTTTCAGGCTGAGAACAACACGGACCTGAAAATGGCCCGTGCAGCCTGTTGCAGGCGCAGCATGTAACAAACACAGACACCTACCGTCTTCCCCCGAACACAACACATCCCCATTCTGGCTGCACCTGACCGGAAATAAAGCTTGCATACATTCATTACCAGGGTGCGTTATGTTCGGGGGAAGACGGTAGTAACTGTGAATGAACAGATCTGATTCACGAGAATGTGAATCCTGGGGCAAGGTCCAACTCACAAAGAGGATAATTGGATTCAACGCCTGAAATTCAATCTGGATGTAGTTTATGCAGGGATGCAGAAAGATCAACTGCAATTTTCCACACCGCAATAACTGAAGGGGCCACACCGCTTAGCTATTGACCAAATTGAATTTATTTTGAAGGGGGGTGAGGCATTAGATCTCGTCCGTATCAGTCGCCTAAGGGGTCATTAGCCAAAACTAGTGTGAGAGTATGTGTGTGAGTGGGTTGTGTGTGATGTGTGGGAGAGTGTTGCCTTAGCAGTGCTAGCACACTGCTGTCACTCTATAAGGGTGGCGGAATAAGAAAGGGAGGCGCCGCTACCGGCAAAAGGCTCAGTCCTTGTGTTAGCCGGGCCCCACCCTACTCCCTGACTGTTGTTCGTGCAAGGGGTAACGTGTGCATCCCCTTCATCGTGCGAGGTAGCTATACTCACAAAGGCCCCCTGTATAGCCGTGGGAGTAGTGGTGGGTAGGTAGGGAGAGGTGAGTTTGGGAGAAGGAAAAAATAAAAGATCAACCTGGCTGCTGAATGGCTCATACATTTCACAGGACCTGTGACAAAGCGATCACCAGCTCCAATTCTGACGGCGCACATAAATGGAGAAATGGTAAAATGTGGTTGCTGGCATTGCTGCAATCAAATCCCAAATCCAGGCCATGCCATTTCTCCCATTGGTCAGCCTGAGGGCAACACTCGGGCCCGTAGGGCATACTAAACATTACCTTACTCTTGCATTTCATTTTTACTACTGTGAAAAAAAAAAAAAAAAAAACACTTTCCTATCCAATTCCTTGAGCAAGGTGAAAAAATTGCAAACATTACTGACAGCGTGCGACAGGCCTAGCTCAGTTGGTATGAAAGGTCCATTTCACCGTGCAGACCCCAAATTCGAATTTCATCGTCAAAGTCACCCAAGTCCGGATAGGCCCAAACGGTCGAAACTGAAACTGAAAGGAAGTCACGGCGGGTATCCAATACGAGGCACGGGTCAAACGCCAAACTGCCCGATGAGTCGATGACCAGTCGGGTCCCACAGTCCAAAAATGCAGCAGGACTCCAAAGAAAAGTCTGTAAGGTACTGCCCAATATTCCAAAGCAAACAGGCGGAGGCCCGGAGGGGAAGCGGAGGTCAAGCGCAGACCCAAGTCAAGCAGAGGCCAGTACGGCCGAGGGCCAGTCCAAGTCAATAAGGAGACTGGCCAGCCTCATTTGGACAGAATGCTCGTTCGCGAGAAGGTGGAAGCGCTGCTGAGCGCTTGTGCGCTATTGTGAGTGGACCAAGCACTAGGAGCCCTGCTGGGCAGCGCTATGCTGTTCATGACAGGCGGCCATAGCCGCATAGAAGAGGTAGAAGCAGAGTATGAGTAGGAGGCGGGTGCATCCAGAGATGGGATCCTCATAGTTACTGTAGCGGAGGACAATAGGAGCTCCAGGGATAGAGAGAGAGAGAGAGGGAGAGAGAGAAGCAGCAAGGTTGAGAGATACAAGGCTGGAGAGAGAGAGAGAGAGAGAGAGAGAGAGAGAGAGAGAGAGAGAGAGAGAGAGAGAGAGAGAGAGAGAGAGAGAG